TTTTTTTCCTTCAAGTAATATAAAAAAAAATTAAAAATAATTAAAGTGACATTTACTCGGATTTCATTTGATATTTTTACACTTGAAAAAGTGAAGGGAACAAAAGAAACTTTCTTGAACTTCTTAATGTTTTCCCAAATTTTTTCAATGGAAAACAAATAAGTGAAAAATATTTTTTCCTCACTTTCTCCAATTATTCCAATGGGGAAAAGGGGGTAAAGGTAAAAAACTGAAAGTAGGTATGTTCCCACTGTTTTAACATATTTTTAAAAAAATTGTCTGAATTTTCCCAATAGTTTATTTTTGTTTTGAAACTTTTTCCAAAAACTGAAAAAAAATAATCATCCTAAATGACATTTTTTCATGATTTTTTTTATTTTTGATGAACTCCCATATTTCACAAAAATATATTCCATTAAAAATAAATCAGTTTATAGAAGAAAAAGTTTATTTTTGCTGGTTGGGCTTTAAAAAAAACGGCGGAGGTTTTTCAGAGGTACCAAGTGGCTTTAGACACCCAATTCCCATTGCTTTAATTGAAATGACCCCAATTCCCACCAGCAGAAGGTCGGACCGTAAAAATTGTGAACTGCCCTAGAGCTTGGCTAAGGCAGAGCTCAGGGTGCCCAGTGCTGCCTTGTGACCCTCTGCAATGTGGAAAGTGATTAAATGGAAACCTCTGAAATCTCAATTCCCACCAGCTGAGGAGCCAAACGAGTGAGTTAGTTAGGGGCTGATACAAGCTCACTGGTTAGCGGCCAAGTTTCTAGGTGCTCTAAAATCCATGTACTGAATCACATTGTCTTGAAAATTGCTGTGTCTCTTTGATGTCTGAGGTAATGTAAGTGGGGCAAATTTGGAGTCACTTGGTCTAGGAGTTTCTGAGACATAAAACCCCAAAATAGAGGACTTGAGAGTGAAACACTGCAGTTCTCCATGGCTTGGCTCCTGTTTTGGTTTCAGATGGACGTTGATCCTATATCTCTCTCTTCCTCCGCCAAGGATGCCGGTTGTACAAGGCAAATTGGTACCTCCGGGCTGGCCTGAGGTGATGTCTGTAAGGCACAAATGATGATTCCTCTGGGAGACGACTCTACAGTATATGCCCAGCCTGGCACCCCCAGCTGGGCTGTGCCTCTCAGCTAGACACAGAGCAGGCGCCGGGGTGTTGTTGGGAGAGGGGCAGGGAGACGCTTGCTTTCCACAGCTTTCCTCAGGACAGGATGTCAGAAGTGCTCTGGAGGGAGACAGCGAGGCTGGCACCAGGTGACAAGAAGGCAATTCCTACAGCGAATGGGCTGAGGATTTCAAGCTCATATCTCAGATTGATTTCCTTCAGTAGGAACGTACATACCAGGCTGGCTCATCGGCCCCTCTAGCCACTCCTTTCTGCCCTGGTCACATCTCTGGGTCCATCAAGCCTGCTGTCTCCACCCATTTCCCTTCCACCCCAGATCAGACCTCTGGGCTCATCCAGCCCACTAAACCCGGCTAATCTGGTAACCCCCAGGTATCTGCTGCACCAGAAGAGACCAGTGGTCTGGATACTTCAGCCACCTATCGGGCCTGTATTAGAAATGCATCCTTGGAGCACCATTTCACACTGGCTGCCATCGAGGCTCAGGTGGGGCTGCGAGTCAGGACTGAGGGGTACCGGCAGAGCTGTTGCTGTTGGGAGCCCATTGCTCATGGCCTGTGTTATCCCATCCTCAAGCTCCCTCCCGACAGCTTTCCCTCTGTCCCAGAATCCTTGCAGAGGAGTGAGGAAGTGACTTGTCCTTGCCTTACTTCCCCTCCCAGAGCTGAGAGAGAACCTAGGAGTCCTGGTTACCAGCCCCCCTGCTCTAACCACTAGACCCCACTCCCCTCCCAGTGCTGCTAAGTCACCGTGTTGTAGAGCAGAGAATGCAGCCTGGGTCTGCTCAGCACCCCGCTAGCTCCCTCCCTGTTGGACCAGGTTGTACTAATGTAGATGGAATAAATGGACCAAAGGTGCTAACAGACCCCAGACACTGTCGAGCATTAGACATGTTAAGCGACATACAGGTTTCGTATCCAGAGACCTCAACCTGCTCAGTGCCATGGCAAACACACCATGAAACATGCCTTTAACCTGTTATCAAAGACAAGGAAAAGGAGGAAAAGCAGCTAAAGCATTTGAAATGTAAAGCATTCAATAAGGCTTCATTTGAACAACATCCCTCATTCCCCTGGCCTTGAGCTGGGAGAGTTTTAGAAGGAAAATCCCCCTCATCAGACAGTCTTTTAGGCGGTATCAGAGATGGTAATAACTGTCCTTGCGAGTGAAAGAGAAGTTAGCTGAGATGGGCTGGAACTTCTGTTGTCGTAGATGCTGCTATTGAAGTTCGATCCCATTTCATCTCGGAAGGGGTTTAGGATTCATCTGGAGTAGGTGGGGGTGACGATGTCCTCTGGGTCCCTCTCTCTGGCCCGGTCTGGCCAGGACATCTCTCAGG